AATTTTATAATTAAAGTTTTTGTGATGGCAGCTTTATCTAATTGTTGAAGTTAAGCGCTAAATGGCTGCAACTTCTATATTGGTTTTTATAGTCAAAAGTGATAACTTTATATTAAGAAAAAATTCAGAAAGCTATTGAAATGGCTGATTTCTAGCTTTAGCTGAAATTGGAAATAAGCACAATAAAATAGTAATTTCTTCCTTTTCTATTCAAACTTTTATTTATTTAGTGTGTTGTTAGATATAATCTCTACTTCTCTCGAGGCAGTTTTAGTTGGTCAATCTCTTCATTAAATATTTTCTCCAACCAGTTTAACAATAAATATTTTTTCTTTTTAACAGAATAGGACTATGGATTAGCATGGCATTGAGTGTAGTATACAGTAGTATGAATATGTAAGAAACCAAGCCTGAATCATATAACTAGTCAAACAAGCAAGCTAGATTTATTGAGGTGTATTTTGGCTATCTAAATATATAAATTCTACATAGTTGAAGTAAAAGTAAGTGATTAAGTTGCCATATTGTACTAAATTTAATAATAATGAATAAATTCATTAATTTGGAATGTTTTGAAAGAAAAGGTCCAATCTTCACTTTCAGACTAATTAATCTAGAAGATGTAGCCATACTGTAACTTAGTGTGCCAATCAAAACCTTGATGATCCCAGTAATTAAAGTAAATAAATTTAATGTTTTTAATCTTACACAAGATATTTTAAGGTTTTGATTGTGCATCAGTTATAAATATCAATCTAGTTAACAAAGTTAATAGCTATACTGATCATTGTGACAACTAGCCTTGATTGATTAGTAATATGATTTGGACTTGGTTTTATCTATGATTATATATACATACCTTGCTGGAGCTAAGTGCAATGGAGAACCAGGGATTATTATCTCTAATTCTGTAGCTGGTCTGTTATTTCTAATGTCCTCTTGATGTTCGAAGATGCGGGACCGTATCATTCTGGTCGTAGCTCCAATATAGATAATTTCCTCCCCTGATATTGTATGTTTTAATGGAATTTTATAAACCCCCGCTTTTTCATTCAACGTGAGAGTGTCTCTATCATTGCACAATGTTCTTCGTAGTGATGGTTGAGGGGTTATAGGTAATATAAAACCATGCTTTCTGAATATGCGTGTTATTTTTAGTGAAATGGTGCCCAAGTACAGTATTGGAGGGTTTATTATCTTTAGGCTTTCTTTGTTGCAGAGGAAAGATTTTGGAAACAATCTGTTTGACCCGGTTGTAGAGATATTGATATTTGGAATTAGAATATCAGGCATTGCGCACTGCTCTGTTAATAATTTGTAATTCTTCATCAATTAATGCCTGGGAGGATGGAATGAGGAGCGCTCTCCGAATAAGCGAAGTAATAGCGGAGTTAACAAAGCTTGAGGGCTGGAAAGCAGTTACAGGGAATATCTGGCCCTCTATTGTTTTTGTGGTGCACCTCAAAAGTTAACTCCGGAGATCTATGCACTTCTAAATCTAAAAATCTTAAAGGGGTTATTATTTATCGCAAGTTGGTGTGGCAATTTAATCAGCTACCTTTAATCTAAATTTTTGAGCATTTATATATTTAATAAGCTGAATTGTAGCCTGATGATAAATTCAGGTTGATTAGTCGTAGTCTGAGTATCATTTTCATGTCATTAAAAGAATATGTATATGTATGTTTCATTTAAAATTATTTCCTGGAAGTAGTTAGTTTTTTCTGTTGAATTTCAAAGAAGTGAGATCAAATTTATCACTACTAGATAGAATTAATGCATATCTGCCAGTTTTACATAAAAAATATGAAACACAAATATTAATTCAACAGGATTAAGTAAACTAGTTCAAAAAATATATTTACTATTAGCAGTGACCAACGTCTGGATAAGCAGTTTGAGAAAATTTAGTCAAAGGGAAAAAAGTTGTATTTAATTAAAATTAAAGAATATTTACTATTGAATATACATTTTCAGCCACTATTTTATTGGCCCTCTTTAGGAAAGGTGAAATGAAAAAACCATTCCATATATAGAATGTTTGCGATATGTCACAGCCTTTATTTGAACTTTTTTGAAACTTTTAAAATTAGAATACGGCTACATTCTATA